CACATTCCCACAGTGCACTTGGAGAGGTGTTTCCGGATTTGTCTCACCTACTAAGACTGTTAACATTTCTGATGAGCAGGGAATCATCTTTGTATCTGTATGTCCCAAGCGCCCAGCATAGACAGAGCCTGTATCTAGGGGAAATTTAGCGGGTGTTTGAAGAATGAATGAGTGAGCCCTCTTGTCAATAAATTTTTATTGACGGAATCAATTAACTACACATTAACTCTGGGAAAATGCAGTGTTATAAATAGGATTGTTTTCACAAGAAGCTTTATAGGTTTGTTCCCCTTCCAAAATTAGAAGATAGTAATTTGTATGGGTTCGCAGTTTGAAAAATAAGCATGGCTGCCCTGGAAGGTTCCAGCCGGAGTGCCTGCTCTGAGGCAGAGCAGCTGCAATGGGCTGCTTGAGAGCCTGGCTCCCTGCCTCTCTGACCCCACCTGGACAATCCAGGAGGCTGAGCCCATTTGTGCTCGCTCCTCTCTCAGAGGCATAATTATTACAGCAAATCTATGGAAAAACTATGTTTTGTTCCATTTTGTTCCAGTCCCAGCGACTATCTCCAGGACGGAAGGAAAGTGACAGGAGTCAGGTGATCAGCTAGACCTCAGGGGAGACCTACGGATCCAGGTTATAGGCATTCCAGCCTGCCTCCCCCTCTTCTCCCTTTTTGCTTAGCAAAATAAAAGCCAATGATACCCTAATTTTTATAACTCCTCTCACCTAAAAGCAGCACAAATAACTCTTAGACTAGATCATTTGGAACCCTGAACTCAAAACCTCAAAACTTGTTTTCCTGGGATGAAGATAATCTGAGAATGGTTTTAACTTGCTTGTCCAGCAAATGTATCAAAGAAGGCAGGAAACGTTTCCTCTGTGGATTATACGATAGAAATTCCCATCACATCGGAGTTAGCCAGAGGCGCCATTAGAAGCCATCCATGGTGACCAAGCTAGCCCATCCCCACCTCGCCTTGCCCTGAGCCTGAGCTGTCCTTGCTATTCCTTGGGACCAGAGCCGTAACGAAGGTGTCATGAGAACACTGTGGAGCTGAATTTGGCACTGAGAAGAATGGGCGTGTCAGGGAGGGCTACTGTTGGTGTGGGGGGCTTACTTTCTGTACAGAGGCCTGGGGCTCCTCAGGCACCTGGCTGTCTCTCTCGCCTGCTGGACCCTCTCCATAGCCCAAGCTATAATCAGTTGACAGATGTTAGGCCAGCAAACTGCAAGTCACTGGCCAGGTGGTCCTGCACCCTCCAGGGTGTGGTCCATGCCCCTGCCCCTCAAGTCCATTGCAGTCTGGGGCTGGGCCTTCCTGCCCTAGGACACTGCAACACCAGCAGAGCAGGGTTCCTCAGCCCTGGCCACACATTGGGTTCACCCGGGGAGCTCTCAAACATGTAGGTACCTGGGCCCTCCCCCAGAGATTCTGATTTAGTTAAAGTGGAACCTGAAACGTCAAGATTTAAAAGCCCTCAGGCCACTCGAACGTACAGCCTGGTTTGAGAAACATGGGTGAAGGACCACTCCGAATAAAAAATGCTTCCTCTGAAGTCCACAGTCTGGAGAGTCCTAAGATGAAATTCAATTTCCCTGAAGGACTAGACCAGCTGTGAGCTACCCGGAAGCAGGGATCCAATCTTATTCATCTTTAGCCCGGCTCCTGATATGACACTTGGTCTCCAGAGGGTGCTCAATAAAAGGTTTGGTTGAATAAATGAATGCATCAACTCAGATCCCCCACATCTGCCCCCTTTTAGTTCTAGTCCTGTGTTCTGCTAGAAATAATGCAACTAAAACAGGGCACAGCCCTAATTTCACAATTTGCTTATTTTTTTGCTCTCCTAATATTCTAAAATAAATGTGGCGCTAGGACTATCTTTCCAAAATGGTGAACTTCTAGACTGTTTTCTTGGCAAAAATTTTAAAAATTAACTGAATTTTTAATGCTTAGGTTGTGTCTACCTAATTCTGAAACAACTAGTTGAGATTGACAAATTTGTCGACTCAATTAAAGACATCAATGTGGGTAAAAAAATGAAAGGCAGTCTTATTTCAAAAAGCAGGGAGCAAAAACCTAAGGAGGAGGCGGTACTGGCTGAGAATACGAAACTATTCAGGTATACTCATGGATGACAGACCTTTAAGGATTAATTAGGAAATCTAAGCTATGTGAGCAAAATGTTTAATATTCGAGATTGACAGTTGATGTGAAGAAGTCAACTACAAATTTTCCCTCAGTGTCACCATCTACAACAAAATCCTAGCCTAGGATGGTATTTTTGATACTAAAAAACAATTTTTTTAAACTAAACTTATCCGTTAGAAACAGACACAAGAGGACAAACTAAACCAGCTGTACAACTAAATGTTCCATCTCCCACCCAGCAATCTATAAGCACGGTCTCAGCTGACAGAAGTTACCATCTGTCTCAGCCTGGTTTCCACCCAAGGAGGAGGGTGAAACCCCTGAAGCTATTTCACATGAAAATCAACTTGGGGAGTTGAATATTTACTTGAATGTTTATCAGGAAGCCGGTCTATCTTCCATACCACGGCCCGGTAGGCACTCTCATATTTTGCTGACCCCACAGTGACCTGTATGACAGGTTCAGATTCAGGTTCATGTAAATTCCCCAGACATGCCCGGCGGTTCATTTTGGCTTTCAGGGACTTCTGCCTCTGGAGGTTCATGGTCCACAGGGCTTTGATCCATTGCGATGGGACAGGAAAGTGTATCATTATGTTGTCACAGGACCTCGAGGAACTGGGATGGGATGGTCTCTGAACCAATGGGGCCATGTTAACAAAGGCCTGCAGCTCCACATATGCCCCCTGGACAACCACAGCAGCCTTCAGAGAAAAGGGGAGATCTTCCCCGTTATACAAAGTCTTGAAACGCATCAGCTCAAACCGGCAGGCATCCAGAGGTACAAACTTAATGATTCTCGATTGCTCAAATTCTTGTGCTTTCACACACTTATGAAAATGATAGTCAAGAATATCAATCCCCTTCTTTTCTGGGTCTTTTTCAAAATACTGTTCATTTCGCTTCTGCAGCTCAAGGTCATTCAATGTTAAAAAGCAGTCCGTGTTCCCATTCACAAAGCCCAGGCAACAGATTTGAGTGATCACAGCACTTTCAACCAATTTTCCTTCTTCTTTCGTGATTTTACCCCAAAAGTTATCCACAATTTCCAGGGAAATTTCTTGTTCCTCATAGTTCCTTTTTGGTTTTGAAATGGCTGGTAGCTTCATCAGCTCCTCCTCCACAGTAGTCAGAAAGTCGAGGAAGTCGTTGTACTCTGTGGACCCCAACTTCAGCATCTGTTCTATGTCTGGCTCATGAACTACTTCTGTCTTAGAATGGTATTTTCTTTTTTCTGTGTAAGACACGTGTTCAATCTTCACAGTATGGATTTTTCCTGCCACGCTAAAGTTCTCAAGTTTGGGTTCAGAAAGCCTGCAATGAGGATCGAGCTGCAACTCTTTAAATGGTTTTTCTAACCCCTTCTCATAATACATTTGCAAAATTCCTCCAGGTAAGACTTTTAAAAAAATCGGTCCCCACTGACGGGAAGACATCATGTTCTTCTTCTCAGGAATCCTCAGCATGAAAGACCATCCGGGTTTGGGCCGACTCCTGAAGAGCGAGTGGGGAACAAAGGAAGAGGCAGGGTCTTCGACATACAGACATCGCATCGACAAGTTCCCGAACGAGTCTTGGTTCTCGGCTGACTGGAGATGTTCAAGCTTCTCACAGATGTAGCTGAGTGAACACTGATTTAAGCTTTTTTGATCAATTGGCATCTCTTTGTCTCTTGATGGGAATGTCTTTCTGCTTCCTGGAGGGTCAAAGGTGAACTGGGAAGCACTGCCTTCATCTTTCCAAAATGGACTTGAAAAAGCACAGTCCTCCCGAAAATACTGAAACTGGACAGCGTCACTTTGGAACCCCAGGCTTTCGGCCTGGGGAGGGCTAATGTCATCTGGAAGACCCACTCTGGCAGCCGGATGCGTACACGAGTAGTCACTGGGTAAGGAAGCATGGGACAAACAGGTTGGTTTAGTAGGCAGCAAGGCAGGGTCTGCTCCTGGTGGTGTAAGTGGGCTGTTTGAAGATAATTCCGGAATAGGATAAAGCACATGGGTCCCTGCTTTGGGGATGCCAGGGAAACCTGGGAAGTCTTTAGTAGGTGTAGAAAGAGGAGAGTTACTTGGAGGTCCTGGACTGAAGTAAAAGTCTATGATGGGAGAGGGGAGAGGGGTACCACTGGTGGAGGAGGGTGCACTGGGAAATTCCTTAGGACCAGAGAGGTTCAGCTTCAGTCCGTTTGGTCTACAGATGCCTTGATTCTCCCGAGGGGAATTCTTTGAACTTTGAGAAGATTGTAAAGCAGAGTCATCATCAAATGTAACCCAGTTGCCTGGGTTCGTAGAGCACATCTTTGAAATCGGATCGTGGTCTTCTCAAGGAATCAAGTACACTGTCTCTGTTAGAGGAGAAAAGAGAAAATAAGAATATAAAATGAGGTGTGAAATTCAAGCTACTAGAGGTCTTTAGTTCTGAGAAATGACTTGGATTTAAAAGCATCCAGATTTACAGATTAACTGAGTCAAATTCATAGAAGCCGAACGAAGTATGATGGTTCCCAGGGGCAGACGGGAGAGGGAAGGGGGCATTTGCTGTTCATATTATTTAGCCACAAAAAGGAATGAGTTTTCATCATGCGAGAAGAAAAAGTTCTAGAGATCTGTTGGAAACAATGTACACGTAGTTAACAATACTGTACTGTACACTTAAAATTTTGTTAGGTTTTAAGAATTGTTATTTTTTTTACCACCATTTAAAAAAAACTGCAACATTTAAATCAATTCAAAAAGTCTTTTATTTGAATGATTACTGTGTAGCCAGACCTTGTTAGTGCTGTAAAAAATACAACAGAAGATAAAAACCCAATTTATAATGTACTTATCACCCACTGACAGCCCCAAAACATGTGAGATTTACAGCTTAGAAGCTTTTTCAAATTCATGCTCTCATTTATCAAAATGACCCTAGGAGGTATAAATCACTATTCTCATATCATAGCAGAGATTACTTAGGTTTAGCATCATTGCCTAAAGTCACCCAACTGGAAAGAGGCAGATCTAGGATTTTTTAAAATAACAGCTTCATTCACACACATGAAATTTACCCATTTTGACGATTCAGTGGTATTTAGTACATTTACAGAGTTGTGCAACTATCACCACAAATTCCAGAACATCTTAGACTTCCCAAAACTAAACCCTGTACCTAGTAGCAGTCATTCCTCATTCCACTCCCCTACCCCAGGCCCTGGCAACCATTAATCTGCTTTATTTTTGTATGAATTTGTGTAGTCTGGACATTTCATATAATTAGAATCTACAACATATGGCCTCTTGTGTCTGGCTTCCTTCACTCAGCATAGTATTTTCAAAGTTCATCCATGTTATATCATGGATCAGTAATTCATTCCTTTCTGTGTCTAAATAATATTTCAGAGTGAGGCTATTTTGTTTATCCATTCATCAGTTGATGGACATTTGGTTTGTTTCTATTTGAGGGCTTTTAAGAATACTGCTATGAACATTTGTGTGTAAGTTTCTGTGTGATCATTTCTCTTGGGTATATACCTTGGTGTGAAAAACACCAGAATTTGAACACAGGTAATTTTGTGTCAATCTAATCCAATATAAATTACTGAAATTATCCTAATGACATCATAGGCGATGAGCTGTCTGGCCCCAGCACTGACCTGGGGGTTGGGTAGTGTGAAAGCTGGGCGCTGCTCCACCAATCACTCCGGACATTCAGTGACAAGACCAGAATCATCTCTGAGTTTCTTTCCCACTCTAAAACAATTCTATGATGGTTGACATCCAGTTGAAATTTTTTTCAAAAGTAGAAACTGTGTTACCACTGGGATTTTGGACCAAACCTCTAAACTGATAGAAAGTAAAACTCCATGAGATCTACAGATGTGAAAACTGAAAACTGGACTAAAGGCCATGAGAAAGGCATATTTTCTCCCTTCAGCCGCTTTCTCGCCTCCCCATGTGGACAATGAAGCCTCAACCAATGCAATCATTGAAGCATGGAAAAGAGCCAGCGCAGAGAGAGAGAGAGAGAGAGAGAGAGAGAGAGAGACAGAGACAGAGACAGAGACAGAGACAGAGAGACAGAGAAGAGGCCTGGGGCTCCACTGGGGACAGGGCACGCTCAGTGTTGTCATTTGCTAAATCTGCACATTCCTGAGGGCACAAAAACACAGTGAAGCCGCAGCCCAGGCCAGCTGGCTCTCTCTGGAGGGCATTTCACTGTCCCTGCCCTTGGGCTGGAGCTGCCATAAAGCACTTCCCTTCGGAGCTGGAAGAGCAGTATTTCAAGGGACTCGCCAAAAAAGCCTCCGAGTCAGGAAATCAGCAACACTATTTCTTTTCTTCTTTTTTAAAGATTTTATTGGGGAATTGGGGGAGGGGAATAGCGCTGGGGAATTGGGGGAAGGGGAACAGACAAGTTGCTGTCCTTTTGTTCTTCAGTCTAGTTGTGGAGGACGTTGCTTCACTGGCCCAAGTTGGCACCATCATTGCGCTCTTCCTGGGCGAGGCAGATCAGTCACCGGCTTCTGGACAGTCGCTCACTGCAGCTGCTGGCCGCTCACACTGGCTGCTGGCTACACATGGTAGCCCATGGCAACCCACTGCCACAGGGGCTGCAGCCTACGCCGTAGCCGGCGACTCACAGCGGCCCAGCTCCAGGTTGAGCTGTTGTTCGGCATCTTAGCTGTAGAGGGCAGTGTCACTGGCCCTCATATGTGGGATCTGAACCGGGGCCCTCTGGCGTCCCAAGCCAGCTCTTAACCATCGCGCCACTCGGCCGGCCAGCAGCGCTATTTCTTGACCCATCCCATCGCACCCTCTTCAGAAGGAATCCAGCCAAAATAATTTTTCATATAGGATGAGAGAGCGTGTAAATATTTACTTCAGTTGAGTTTATTAAAAAGAAAACGAAAACCAGGAGAATAAATAATTCAGCTTCAGGCTGACTCCTATTCTGATCTAAACCACTCATCCTCATCCGTTTTCCATTGGTAGCTTCAAAATTTGGAACCGTGATATTGGTTTCTTGAGAGTTTTTGCTTACTGTGGGGAAAAAAAAATTATTTCCATAAACCAGATAAAGAAATCAATCCCGTTAATTTTTAAGGGACCCTTGCACTTCACAAAGCACACCTTGCAAAGAAAAAATCTCCTTCCTTGAATGCAAAAATCTCTGCAAAACACACTCTTCCCCCTATGCAGGGCTCTTCCATGGGAGGCACTCAACAAATGTGATGTGAGTTTAATTCAACCAGATGGAATTCTACACTGTGCCCAAACTCTTGTCCCTGTTTAAAGGGCAGGAATTAGACGCCACCCTGGAGTGAGCGGCTAGGATTCCAGATTCCTTGGTCAAGGAAAGGTTTGTTTCCTGCTGTGCTCTTCTTTCTCCTCTTTCTCTCTTCCTATTGCTGCCCTTCCTTATCAATCCTGTTTACACTCATTTCCATTTATTTTATCTCTTTCACCCTTTCCCTCTACCTGACCCCATCTTTCTATTTTAGCCTCAAAGCAGCAACCAGTCAGTATCCCCAAAGTCAACAACTAGAATCAGTTCCATCCAGTGTGTTCCTTCTCTTTCCTCCCTCCTAACCCAGCCACTCCCCCAGCAGGGAAAGGGGGCCACATCCTGTCCAGAACCTTGGTCTGTCCAAGGCCCATTGGGTCTTAGGGAAGGATGAGATAGCTCAGAGTCAAGAGGTCTAGAAGGTGTCTTCTTTTAGTCATCCGCAACTTCACCCCACCTATTTCAAGACATTGGAATCTAAAAGTATTCAGGCAGCAGCATCGTTTAACCTCAGTATTTTTTTTTTTTCCTGCACTGCAAATGGGGTAGGATCTCAGTTTTTGTCTGGGCCTCCCAGACGGCCCTAAATCTTACCATTTACAGAGCCCTTTCATAGGCATCATCTCATTTAAATGTTATGACAATCCAGAGTGGACCTCGGCATTTGAGTGCCTTCTGCAAAGCCCACAGTCCAATTAGTGCAGAGCCAGGAGCCCAGAACTCCTGGCACCAGGTCCCCGGCTGCCTTCCTCTGAAGCAAAGCTTCCTCTGGTTCAGCTCCCTGGTTTTGTCCTCAGATGTGGGCTCCCTCCCACCCAGCATGTCCTAATCCTTTCAGAGGTCTGTTTTCAGTCAATCTGGGTTATACTGCAAACTCCTAGATGACAATTCCAGACAAAATTCATAAACAGGGCAAGACACCAAGACTCTGAATGAGGCATAAATACAGAAGGAAAAAAGTATTATGGTGGCAATTTCTAGAAATCAATCTCTGAGGTTGGAAGGTTTCTAAGGGGAGTGAGAGTTTGCTTCCCCTTAAGACTATTAGTCTTTTTGGCTGCCTATTTTCGAGCGGCAAGAGAATACATTGAACTCAAGATCAAATTGAAAGTAAATGCACATGCCTACTCACACCGGGAATAACAAGGACCTAGGTGGACTGTGGTTTCAGCCTCTGACTTCAACACATGTGACAGATGGCATTCCAAAACCTAGCACATTCCCTTGGATGTAACGGAGAGTTTAACAACCCACCAAAAATATTTAGGGAAGCCCTAAGATAATTAATTACCCCCACCATGCTAGATGTTGTATCAGCAAAGGAGGGCCCCAGGCCATAGCCAACATGAGAAAGGCTGCATTTACACACAAAGCCCTACCCTCCACCCCTTTCCTCCACTAAGAAATCATACCAGAATTCTTAAAGAGTATTATGGAGATTATAATGTGTTTAAATTGTTTTAAACATAAAATCTTTCACAAATAGCAATGCCTTAAATATTACTGATAATACTACAAATTATTTGCAGTAAGCCTGATGAATAAGAAGCATGGGCATGGAAAAGCGGTCTCCCCAAAAGGAATTTGGGGATAAAAAATTTCAAGTTATCATACAAAAAATGTCATATTCTTTGAGAGTCAGGGTGAAGCTTTTTCAGGAAGGGATCATGTCGCATTCAGTAGGGCATTTTCCACATTGCCTACAAATGTCTGACACGAGTGTGCAGCTGCATAAATTTTTGATGGAATAATTTTAAATCGTCTATTTAGTTTTCTATAAAGTAAATCTCTATGCTGCCCTCCCCAGTTCAGAGAATCACTGAATTTTAGAGTTAGGCAGAAATTGGAGGTATTCTGTTCCATTAGCCACACCAGCAAATATTTAAAGTACTACTTACTATGTGCTCATGGTATGCCAAGGGCTGTATGTGCACGATCTCATTTTAATCCTCACAACCCCATCAAGTAATAATATCACCGTTTTGTAGAAGAGAAAAATAAGGCTCAGAGAGGTTAAGCTACATGCCTAAAGTCACCCAGCCAGGAAGAGGCAGACCTGAACTATGACCACATCTGTCT